AGATGTTCCTACAAATAAAGGAAAAGATCAAATGGAAATGAAAATGAAAATGAAAAGGAGGAGTGCACATAAAAACAAATTCAAAATTCGTTGTTGCTTGCTTTGCTCCTAAGTCCTAAACCAAAAGAGGTAGCCTCAAAAATAAAAAAAAAATAAAAAAAGGCAATGGCTTCGAAATATAGGATGACAATCCGGAGAGAACTTCAAGGGATTTCAAAGACTTAAAACACCTAGTTTTCAATCCTTCCAAAATCCAAATCCAATCGATAATTATTTATGTCTATTGTCTTTCACTTTTTTTTCATACTTATTATTTTCCATTTGAATTTTAGATATTTAAATATACATGTTAAACATCTCAACCCTAGATCTTCTACACCTCTATTCTCAGAAATATCCACTACTCTTTCACCCTTTACTCTACTCCAAAGTTTAATCATTCTTGATTTTCACTAAAACATAATATTTGCCCGTCTTATATGTACTCCATGTATATATGCTATTTCATTTTCTGTGCATTCTATGATTTTTTTTTTCTAAATTTCCAAAATCACAAGAAAGGAGTAGAGGAGGAAGAAAAATCGCTTTTAAATTTTCAAATCTCACCATTTCAGGTTGAAACATCATTCCTTGAGAATTAGAACTATTAGAATTTAATCCATTTTTTGTGCCTATTTTATGTTCTACTAAATAGCATAATTATTTAATTTTATCCAAGTAGAGATGCTCCAAATAAAAAAGAGAGTACAGCGGTGAGAATCAATGCTATGCAAGTTGGCACAAGCAAAGGACTCAAGCAAAGTTGGTTAATGTGCATAATTCCAAATCTCTCTATAGCCAATGATTGCCTTTGTTTTTGTTTTTGGTTTTTCTTTTTTCATTTGTTTGTTATTTTTATGTCTGTTTTGCACTACATATTGATATAATAATACATTTAAAGATTATCATTTATTTTATTTTTTAGGCTTTGTAGACATTGATTAATGAAGGATACTTCTCCACTATTTGTTTTCCAATTAATAACTCCACATAGTTTAAATATGAACTTAATTTCTATTATTATGGCCAACGACTTAAGTAATTTCATGGTAATCTTCTTCTGTTAAAAAAAAGAGGTCATAAGTTCAAATCGCATGACACGTGGGTGGGGCGTGTGATAAGAAATATAAGAGAGTTATCTCCCATTCCAATATTAAAAAAAAAAAAAATCTATTATTATGATAAATGCTAATATTTTCTCTGTTTTTGTGTTTGACAACAGATAACAGATTTTTAGTTGTAATGGTGGGGCTCCCCTAACTCTCATGCATGGGTTTGAAATTCTCTTTTCTAAAATTGAAATGCCTTAACCAGCCTACACAAGTCTTGACCGCTGGTGACTTATTTATCATGAATTTTGTGTATTTATGATCAATTTAAAGTCCTTTCAACTCCAAGTGTGAAAGGAAAAAAAAAAAGAAAAAAGATAAAATTATTGCAGGGAAATTCAAAGGACGAAGAACATTAAGTAAGCCTTAAATTGACGGCCAAATTCAAGAGACAAAGAGGATTAAGCAAGCCTTAGATTTATTTGTTTGTTTATTTATTTATTTTACTCT